CTAACTCCGGTCAAGCTTGATGACACCAATTATCCCTCTTGGTCGGCCACCGTCCGTGCAAATCTCCTCGCTCATCGTCTTCTCGGTTATGTGGATGGATCTGAACCATCTCCTCCGCCTCTTATTCTCGATGAGAAGGCTGCGGCACCGGGGAAGGATGAATCCCCGGTTATGAAGCCCAATTCCGCCTATGAATCATGGCATATTGTTGACGCTCAGATTCGGGCCTGTCTCCTCGCTATTGTTTCACCCACGGTTCAAACCCACATTCACGCTCTTCCCACCGCGGCTGCAATCTGGAATAATCTAGAGCAACGGTACAATTCTCTTTCACGCACTCATATTTTTCAGTTGAAGGAGCGTTTACAAGGTGTTACTAAGGGGACCGATTCCATGCAAACATATTTGGACACTGTTCTCACTATTGTGTCGTCTCTCAAACTGGCTCATGAAGAAATCTCCGAACAAGATATTATTCTTTGTGTTCTACGAGGTCTACTGGCTGACTATGCCTCCCTCAAGCAAAATATTCGCACCAATATTGCCACCGTCACCTTTAATCAGGTCTCCTCTTGGTTGCTGTCTGAGGAATTAAATTTATCCTTTGAGAAAAAATTGTCTCTTGGTGACTCCGGCTCTAATTCGTCTGTTGATATTCATAATTCTCTCTACACCAACTCCGGACGAGACAATGGTCGGGGTCGTGGCCGTGGACCACCGCGAGGCCGAGGAGGGCCTTACCGCGGCGGTCAGCCCGGCGGCAGAGGCGGCCGGCAGCCACCGTACCGCGACGACGCACGCGGCAGAGGAGGTGGCCGGGGGTCCATCACGTGCCAACTCTGTGGGAAGCTTGGACATGCGGTGTGGAATTGTTGGCACCGCTACGATGAATCATATGCTGGTCCTCCACAGGCGTTTTATGCAAATCAATCTGCTGAATCTAGTTCGAACTGGCATCTGGACACTGGCGCAAACACCCATGTCACGCCCAATCTGTCTCGGCTGCATACTTTGACTCCATACCATGGCACCAATTCCATCACAACTGCAGGAGGTAACACCTATCCCATTGACCATACAGGCTCAGGTATACTCACCACCCCTCTCCATACTTTTACCTTAACCAACCTTCTCCATTCCCCTCACATTAACTCCCATCTGCTTTCAGTCCATCAATTTACTAAAGATAACAATTGTTCTCTTCTTTTTACCTCTATGGATTTTACGATTCGGGACAATCTCACCAACCAAGTTCTTTTCAAGGGCCCTTGTGAGCGTGGTTTGTACTCCATACCGGCATCTCCCTCGTCTTTGGTGGTCAACTCTGTCAAAGTCACTCCGTTTCAATGGCACTGCCGTCTTGGTCATCCCTCAGTTTCAGTCACAAAGTCTTTATTGTCTCAATTAGGTTTTAAATTTCAGCATCTTGATCACTGTAATTCTTGTTCTATTGCTAAGTCTCATAAACTCCCCTTCCCTGTATCTGAAACTAAAACTTCTGCTCCTTTTGAGCTTGTTCACTCTGATGTATGGGGACCAACTTCTGTACCCTCCTTTGGAGGTTATCATTTTTATATTAATTTTATTGATGATTATACCAAATTTTGTTGGTTGTATCCTCTTAAAAGTAAATCTGATGCATTTGATGCTTTTCTCAGTTTCCAATCTATGGTTCAAACTCAGTTCAATGCAACCCTTAAGCTCTTTCGAACAGATAATGGGAAGGAATATGTCAATAAAAAGTTTGGGTTGTTTTTACAAAATTTGGGGATTCTCCATCAAAAATCTTGTCCTTACACCCTTGAACAAAATGGTGTTGCTGAAAGAAAGCACCGTCACTTGGTTGAAACTCTTGTCACACTTCTTTGCACAGCCAATCTTCCAGCAAAATTTTGGGTTGAGGCGTTGGCTACTGCAAATTTCCTGATCAACCGCATGCCAAAAAGGTCTCTTAATCATAAATCCCCTTATGAGTCTCTGTTTCAAAAAGCTCCAGACTATAATCTTCTCCGGGTGTTTGGGTGTTTAGCTTATCCGTGTCTCCGTCATGAAATCACAAATAAATTCCAACCACGGTCCAAACCCTGTGTCTTCCTTGGATACGATTCCTCATCAAAAGGATATCGCTGTTTTGACCTCACTACGGGTCGTGTATACATCTCTCGTCATGTCCAGTTTCAAGAGAGTCAGTTTCCATACTCCACCGTCTCTACACACACAGGGTCTTCCGTCACATCTCCGTCATT